GATTAGGGTCAGACTAAACCAAAATAATGTAAAACATGCGGGACAAGTGATGGGAAATGGCCAGAGATAAACGCCACCATGGTAACGCCCTGTGATCTGTGCTCAGGTCAGGCCAGGTTACCGTCGGCCAGGAACTGCAGCAGGGCCAGGTCGATGGGCCTCTTCCAGCGCGAGTCCTTCTGCAGGGCGATGCCGTAGCCGGTGGTAGCGAACACTTTCCCGCTGCCAATCGTCACCAGCTTGCAGCCCTCGTCTTTGCCGGCCATGTAGTTCAGCACGGCGGCGTCGTAGATGAAGGCGTCTAGTTTCCTAGCACGGCAGAGGAGAGATTTAACAGTAACTTATAAACTTAAATTAAGACTTCTCTTATTTATATGGAATGTTTTCTTTTAAAAACAGCCCTCATTTTTTGCTGAACACTTAGTCCTTGTTGTACAAAATCATAATTACTTAACAAGGCGGGCATGAGGTGGAGACTTTAAACTCCCTCGACCCAACACACGATCTAAAATCCAAAGTCTATTATAGAGCCATATTTCACTGGAACCAACTGCCAATAACCACACGAAGAGTTCAGAACAGAACAATCTTCAAAAATATTGTGTCTTCAGAACTACTGAAAATGATAACATGAACTGACCTGTGTGTATATGTTGTATAGTCTACTCTTGTTTATGTTTTTATTATTTCCTACTGTGATTTTTATTTTTATTTGTATGATCTGTTTATAATGTAATATAATTTCTTCATGTGAGGACCCCAGGAAGACTAGTTGCCATTTATTTGGCAGCTAATGGGGATCATAATAAAACTAAACTAAACTAAAGTCCTGCTCAGATGAGGCAAGGCAGGTTTATTTTTACAAGACAATTCAAAGTGCTTCACAAAGATTTCAAAAGCAGAAAAACACTCAGTTTCCATATTACAGTTAAAATGAACCCTATTCAGCCTGGATTCAAACGTTGTCAGAGCCGATTTCTGTCTCAGGTCTTCAGGAAGATAGATCCAGATTTAAGGAACATGGAGCTGAAATGGAGTCTTTCCTGGTTCGGTTCTGGTTCTTGTTCTGGGTCCCAGCAGGAGACCAGAACCTGGTTCTCAGAGTCCGAGCAGGTTCACCTGGCTCTAACATGTCAGAAAGGTATTTCAATGCCTGAGACCTGAGAACTGGACTGATGTGGTCCTGTTTCCTGGTTCTGAACTGGACTGGTTTGGTCCTGTTTCCTATTTCCTGGCCCTGAACTGGACTGATGTGGTCCTATTTCCTGGTTCTTAACTGGACTGATATGGTCCTGTTTCCTGGTTCTGAACTGGACTGATATGGTCCTGTTTCCTGGTTCTGACCTGGACTGGTTTGGTCCCGTTTCCTGGTTCCTGGTTCTGACCTGGACTGGTTTGGTCCTGGTTCCTGGTTCCTAGTTCCTGGCCCTGACCTGGACTGGTGCCTACCCGGTTTTCAGGCTGTTGAGGGCGTCCTCCACCCCCTTCTGGTTGTACTTGACCATGTGGGAGTGCATCTCGGGGTAGTTGCTGCGGATGTTGCGCTCCGTGCTGCCGTTGGGGACGGTGCCGAACCGGAACGGGGGGTACTGCTCCTGGGGTTTCTGGAACTGTGGATAAGGGTGGAAAAGATAAAGGGTTTATAACGGAACACCATCCCTGGAAGGCTTTACAACAACAGAACACCATCCCTGGAACTTAGTCGGCACAAAATGGCCTCCGTTGTTTCCAAAATGGCGATAATTTTACACGAAATTGCCACCTTAATTAAACGTGTTAATTAAACTTTAGCATCGTATGCTATCACATAATCCATGTCAATGACGGATAAACTTATTCCATTCAAAACTATAATGTTAAACTCAAAAGTTATTTTTTTCTGTGACCTTTGACCTCTTGGCCTCATATTAGACGCTATCAGACACTATTGATTGAAATTTTAAGTAAAATGTTTTTAGACATTTTAAACAAATCATGTTGTTATAAATTGGACTCTAGTTACTAACTTTAGCATCGTATGCTATCACATCATCCAATTAAAATGACTGATTAACTTATTCCATTCAAAACAATAATGTTAAACTCAAAAGGTTTTTTTTTCTGTGACCTTTGACCTCTTGGCCTCATAGCAGACGCTATGAGACACTATTGTTTGAAATCTAAAGGAAAACGGTTTTAGACATTTTAAACCAATCGTGTTCTTGTTCTAAATTGGGCTCTAGCTGCTCACTTTAGCATTGTATTCTATCACATAATCCTTGTAAATGACTGATAGTCTTATTTGTTTTAGAAACATACTTTTGTGTTAAACTAAAACTTTAAAGTATGAGTTTAAAAAGGATCCGCTGTTTTTCCCCGTGACCTTTGACCTCTTGGCCTCATAACAGGCGCCATAAGACACTACTTTTTGAAATATGAAGGAAATGGGGTGATAAACTCAAAAGTATGCGGTTAAGAAGGATCTTTCTTTTTCCCCCTGTGACCTTTGACCTCTTGGCCTCATTTTAGACACTATTAGACACTATTGTTTGAAATCTAAAGGAAAACGGTTTTAGACATTTTAAACCAATCGTGCTCTTGTTATAAATTGGGCTCTAGTTACTCACTTTAGCATTGTATACTATCACATAATCCATGTAAATGACTGATTGTCTGATTTGTTTTAGAAATATACTTTCGTGTTAAACTCAAACTCTAAAGTAGGAGTTTAACCCTATAATGCCAAATGTGTCATATCTGATACGGTTTCTGAGGTCTTTTGGATCTGAGACTTTTTGCATCATTCAGTGGTAAAAGCTTTGCTCAAACCCCTGTTGTACACATTCAGATATACCTGATAACAGCCAGTAGAAGAAAAAATAATCTCAGTTTTTTTTTCTTCATATGTTGTTGAGGGGCCAAAGAAAGACTTCAGACTAAAAAAAATCCAATATTCTTCCTACTTTTCTTGGATCAGGCTTTAAAGGGTTAAAGAAGCTCACCAGATGAAACCAAACCAACTCCAGATCATTTTTCGTGGAGAGGAGCCCAAAAAGAAAGTCTGAAGTTACAGAGATCAATAGACGAGCAATTATGGGACCTCTTTGAACTTTTGAAATGAAATTAAATGAACTTTTAAAGTGGTTCAAATGGACCTAAAACCAACAGGAGGGTTGAAACATACCAATAAACATCAGTGAAACTGGCATTTTACACCCATTTTCCCATTTCCTGCACCTTTTTGTCGCTTAGGCCGGAAACGGTGTCGATGTACTGCTCCTGGATCATGAAGGCGGCCAGGTTGGCCGTGTAGGAGGCCAGAAATATGACGGCGAAAAAAGCCCAGACCAGAACCATGATCTTGCTGGTGGTTCCCTTCGGGTTCTCGATGGGGACCGAGTTGTTGAAGACGATGCCCCACAGGAGCCACACCGACTTCCCGATGGTGAAGGTGGGACCTCCCGGATCTGGAAGGACGAGAGTGGACTCGTCACGTCTGGGGGAATGTCTGGTGTCTCGTCATGTCTTGATTA